AAAAAATCAGCCGGGTGTGGTAGCGCATGCCTGTAATTCCTGCTACTTGGAAGGCTGAGGCGAAAGGATCGCCGGAGCCCAGCAGGTCGAGGTTGCAGTGGACGGGAGTGGCCACTGCACTCCAGTCTGGGCAACAGAGTGAGACTCCAACTCAAAAAAAAAAAAATCTGAGAAAATGGAGGCACAGAGAGGTTAAGTAACTTGCCAAGGTTGTCACAGCTAAGAATGGCAAAGCTGGAATTTAAATCTAGTTAGTAAAAAGTCAAAGTCCCTTATGCCAAAAATGAGCGTAACCATTATTACAGCATCTGTAGTCATTTTAATCACTGTGAGCCTCAGTCTCATCTGTGAAGAATGGATGACTGTTTTCACAGCATTGTTGTGAGGATTGGATGAGAACACACAATAACTTGCCAATGATCAAGTGTTAAGGTTCTGGGGCTTGGACTTGGAGTCTGGGGGCCAGAGGAATTTATCTCTCCAGCTTAGGCCAGACAGGCCTAGGGGCTTAGCTCCCCAGTGTGTCCTTTCCCCTCTCCATTTCTAGTTCCCCAGTGGCTCACATTTCCCTGCTTGCTCTATTTTCGTTGGCCCAGGAGGATGTGCCCCAGGGAGGTCCAGGGATCAGACACATGGACTCCCTGTTCCTGTTCTCTATCTGTCCTCCCCCCTCCCTGGGAAACAGGTGTGTCTGAGCTGAGGCTGGAAGAGCCTGAGAGCTAGATGACCAGCCTTGGGTGAGTGGGAGCTGCTTGTCCCTTCACTCACCCAGGAAGTCTCCATGCACCTTTTATCTCATGGTCCCCCAGCTGTTCTTTCACTCTTCTTTTAAAAAGAGGCCCTGGGTGACGACTGGCAGGCCTCTCTGGGTTTTCTCTGGGTGCTGAATCATTCTCTGATGCCTGTAACCACAAACTTCCTTCCCCCAGTGAGAACACATTCTTCCTTCTCTGGGTGTATTGCTCACTCTTACCCACTGGCTGCCTAGAGCCCTTGCAGGCATTACGGCTTAGCAGATACCCTCTTTCAAACTGCAGAGAAACTTTCCTTGTGACCCCAAGTCTGCCAATGGATTTGTGGGTGGAGATGGTGGAATAAATGACTTTCACAGAACATGGGGGAGAGGGGCAGAACTAATGTTAAATGCTGACTTCTGTGCAGGGCACCACGCTAAGTGCTAGTTAATACCTCCTTCAATTCTCACAAAACACATGAGGTAGTTATAATTATTACTGCCATTTTATTATTATTATTTTTTTTGAGTTGGAGTCTCTGTCGCCCAGACTAGAGTGCAGTGGCCGCTCCCGGCCACCACAACTTCGACCTGCTGGGCTCTGGCGATTCTTCCGTCTCAGCCTTCCAAGTAGCTGGAACTACAGGCACACCCTACCATGCCCGGCTAATTTTTTTTTATTTATTGTAGAGATGAGGTCTCACCAAGTTGCCCAGGCAGGTCTCAAACCCACGGCCTCAGGCAATTCACTCGCCTCAGCCTCCCAAAGTGCTAGGATTACAGGCTGAGCCACTGAACCGGGGGCGGGGGGGGGGGGGGTCTTGTCTTTCAATGGTAAGAGACAAAGACATGGGATTTTGTTGATGCTTGTGGCTCTACATAGGCAAGGCTCAAACTCATACTTTCAGCTCTTTCATGCCCACTTGCCAATTGGACTGGCACCTCTGGGGACTGAGGAGAGGATTTCCCTAGTGCTCCTCTGCTGGAGGGGTGACTCCTGTCATGAGAAATAGGTGCAATTACAGAACTTGCTTCATATGGTGGAAAAAACCCAAATACCTTTGGCATGCTCTACTAGACTTAGAGGCAGGTTTAGTAATAACAAAAATAACAACATTAGTTTCTTTTTTTTGAGACAGCATCTCACTCTGTTGCCTAGGCTGGAGTGCAGTGGCATGCTCACAGCCACAGCCTCCACCTGCAGGGCTCAGGCGATCCTTTTGTTTCAGCCTTCCAAGTAGCTGGAACCACAGGTGTGTGCCACCTTGCCCAGCTAATTTTGTGTTTTACTGTAGAGACGAGGTCTTGCCATGTTGTCCAGGCTGGTCTTGAACCCCTGAGCTCAGGCAATCCTCTCACCTCCACCTCCCAAAGTGATGGAATTGTAGGCATGAGCCACCGCGTCAGGCAACAGTAGCTTCTTAAATTTTTTTTGAGTCGGAGTCTCTTTTTTTTTTTTGAGTTGGAGTCTCACTCTGTCGCCCAGACTGGAGTGCAGTGGCCGCTCCCGGCTACCACAGCCTCGACCTGCTGGGCTCCGACGATCCTTCCGCCTCAGCATTCCAAGTAGCCAGAATTACAGACATGTGCTACCACGCCCGGCTGATTTTTTGATTTATTGTAGAGATGAAGTCTCGCTGCTCAGGCGGGTCTCGAACCCGCGGACTCAGGTAATCTACTCACCTCATTCTCACTCTGTTGCCCAGGCTGGAGTGCAGTGGCATGCTCACAGCCAGCACAGCCTCAACTTGCTAGGCTCAGGTGATCCTTCTGCCTCAGCCTTCCAGGTAGCTGGAACTACAGGCACATGCCACCACACCCAGCCAATTTTTTGATTTATTATAGAGATGAGGTCTCACCAAGTTGCCCAGGCTGGTCTTGAACCCCCGGGCTCAGACAATCCTCTAGCCTCCACCTCCCAAAGTGCTGGGATTACAGACTTCAGCTACTGCACCCGGCTCTTAATTTTTTTTTATTGTCAATTAAAAAAAAATTGTAGAGACAGGGTTTCACTATGTGGCCCAGGCTGGGCTCCGAACTCCTTGGCTCAAGCGATCCTCCCGCCTTTACTTCTCAAAGTACTGGGATTACAGGCATGAGCCAGTATGGTCAGTAGCTCCATATTATTGTGAACTCGCTAAGGGGTGAACATAGCAGTAAGCACTTTGTCTGTTTATTTATTTTGAGATAGGGTCTCACTCTGTCACCCAGGCTGGAGTGCAGTGGTGCAATCCAGGCTCACTGCAGTCATGACCTCCTGGGCTCAAGCAATCCTTCCACCTCAGCCTCTGAGTAGCTGAGAGTACAGGTATGCACCACCACACCTAGCTAATTTTGTATTTTCTGTAGAGATGAGGTATCAATATGTCACCCAGGTTGGACTTGAACTCCTAGGCTCAAGTGATTCTCTGGCCTCGGCCTCCCAAAGTGCTGGGATTATAGGTGTGAGCCACTGTGCCTAGCCAGGCACTTTAAGCATATTATATCATTTAATCCTCACAACGATCCTGGGGGTATACTATTATTATTATCTCCATTTACAGATGAGGAGACAGAAACTCAGTTATTTTAGTTTTGCTGTGGCTGGTAGCAGAGTTGGGATAGGATCCATGGATCATTGTCCAAATCATTGTTATACTGCCTCTGACATATATATTGTCAGCCAGCCTTCCCTTGGGGTTATGAGGAACTCAGAACTTTGTAACTACTGCCATTAGATGATTCCTTCTGAAGCTGCTTACAGATATAACTTCTCAATTCAACTGTGAGTCTTTGACAACCCTATGTATGAGGCAAGAAGTGCATGCTCATGCTATTATTAGCTTCTTTTTATGTGTGAGAAAAATAGTGCATGTTAAAGTCAAGAAACCTGCCCCAAATCACAAAGCCTGTAAGTGGCAGAGTCAGATGTGGCTTTAAATTCTCTTGTCTCTCTATAGAATACTCTTTCCTGCACACTGTTGCAGGGAAGCAAAAAATAGAAGGGTCAGATGACCGAAGCTCATACAATATCCCGAGCTACAGAAAATAATAGCCGTGTGAGGCTTCTGGGAGTGGTGGTGGTGGCAACACAAGTTATGAAAAGGTGAGGGGAAAAGTATATAGTGAATAAAGGTTGTCCTGTTATGTGGATAGTCCCTCAGGTGGTGGCTCAGCCTGTAATCCCGCGTTTTGGGAGGCTGAGGTGAGTGGATTGCCTGAGCTCGCGGGTTCGAGACCCACCTGGGAAACTTGGTGAGACCTCATCTCTACAATAAATCAAAAATCAGCAGGGCGTGGTAGCGCGCGCCTGTAGTTCCAGCTACTTGGAAGGCTGAGGCGGAAGGATCGCCAGAGCCCAGCTGGTCGAGGCTGCAGTGGTTGGGAGCGGCCACTGCACACCAGTGTGGGTGACAGAGTGAGACTCCAACTCCAAAAAAAAAAAAAAAAAAGTTGTCAGTCGTCTTCCTGAAAAAGATACTTTGCTAATGTAAATTTCCTTTATAGAGAAAACTTTCTTTCACAAACAACTTTTCAGAATTACTCCTGTGTCTGCAGTTTCTCAGAATAACCAGCTGAAAATATGCCAAAGAAGTGTATTTTGGGATGGAATATTCTAGTCTTCTACAGTCATATTTTAGAATGGTGTGTCCTGAGATCCAAAACTGTAAAATTCATAGGGCTCCTAGCTTTAAACCTACCGCATAAAGACCGGCAACCATTGCCAAGCTGTAAGTGACTGCACATGCGCACATGAAAAGCCCAGCTCGGTGGGTGGGCAGTGTCAGCCACGTGTTCCCAGGTGCCAACGCGTGCAGAGCGCTAAGGGAAGATCTTCGTAGCGTGGACAAGGAGCTAGCGAATAAGAACTGCCTACTGTAGAGTCACGAGACTAACGTAGGAAACTACACATCCCAGCAGAAGCCCAGGGTGGAAGGCTTTGCTGAGGGACGCATTTCCGGAAAAACAGGCTCTGGATAGGATGTATGGAGGAAGTGGGCGGTCCTAGGCGGCTGGCGGCTTAGCCTGTTTCCGGTAGGACCAGTGGACTCGGCGGCAGAGGCCTTGCGGAACTGGCGTTGTCTGCTGAGCTTTTCTAGACCTGAGCAGACATGGCGGCGGCTTTTCGGAAGGCAGCCAAGTCCCGGCAGCGAGAACACCGAGAGCGAAGCCAGGTAGGACCACACAAAACCCTCGAGCACTGGCCCTTGGTCCCGTGTGCTGTTCTCATCCCCACCCCCTCCCCTGGGGAACCTGATCACGGCGGTATGTGGCTGCTGTTCTGTGTAAATACATGCAGATATATGCTAATGACGCTGGCGTCGCTGGGGCGGAGATTCGCGGGGATTGGTACGTGATTGTGGTTCTCTAGGAGGGAGGAGGGCAGCTCCCCATTCCTTGGGGATAATCAAACTTAACTCTGCAAGATTTCAGGGCGGTAATTAAGTAAAATAATGCATGTAAAGTGCCTGGCCTTCTTTGAGGAAATTGAGTCCAAAGCTCATGTAACCGACAAAACTCTCGGACTGGATTTGGAACCCTCATCTCATGCTTAGCTCTGCTAGCTGCATATGGGTCCCTGAGCGAAGATTGGTGTTACTAATGTGGTGTCATCATCATGCGTGGGCTTTGTGGTTCATGGGGATCTGCCACATATGCCACTTTTGTTTATGCCTCACCCTGTAATGTTGGTGTTTTTCATCCCCATTATACAGGTGAGGAAGCAAGTCTAGAGAATGACTTGCCCATTTATAGACAAAAATTCAGGCAGAATAAACAGTTGTAGGATTTATGTGGTGGGTTGAATAGAAATAAGTTTATATGCAGAGTCAATTTATATACTCGGAAATCACATTATATCTGATTTCGGAAAGGCCCTTAGAGATATCTGGCCCAACTTGAGTTTACAGATGGGGAAGAGAGAAGGAAGGATGTATCTAAGAGTTGTGCAGCTTGACTGATGGAGTAGAACTAGGACCTCTCTTTTTTTTTTTTTTAACTGTCTCCCAGGCTGGAGTGCAGTGGCACACTCATGGCCACCGCAGCCTCGGCCTGCTGGGCTCAGGCTATCCTTCCACCTCAGCCTTCCAAGTGGCTGGAACTACAGGCGCGAGCTACCACGCCTGGCTTGAACTAGGACCTCTTAACCACAGTTGAGTCTTCCTGCTTAAAAGCATTTATCAGACACAGTTATTGAGCACTTGCTGTGTGCTCAGTTGTGTGCCACTTTGTTTGGAAGATCAGGTGGACCTATCTAAAATTAATAAGTAGAATGCTTACTGTGTGCTGGAGCCAGACAAAGTGCAAAGTGCTTTACCCTCATTATCTCATTTAACTCTCGCAGCAGCTGTGTGCAAGTAGGTACTATTATTTCCTTACATTTGCAGATGAGAAAACAAAGTCTCAGATAGGTTAAGTACTTTGTCCTTAGACATAACACTATAGCTGGCAAACAGCAGAGCTGGGACTCACACTATGTTTTGAAGTCAGAGGCTACTAGAAGATGAATAAAGAGGTTACTGTAAGAGATGGCACATTAAAAAAATGCCAAAGGAGTGTTATGAGTGGGAAGAGTTGAGATAATAAGAAAGCATCATGATGAAACTTGTTAGAATTGGAAGGCTAACTATCACTTTTTGAGCATTTACTATATACTAGGCACAGCCTCACATGCTTTACAATTGACTCATATAATCCTGCAAGGTGAATCTTGTGAGGTGGATGTTAGCCTCATTTTACAAATAAGGAATGTGGTGCTTAAAGAGATTGAGTAGTGTGTCCAAGGTCACAGTTGTAAGTAGTGGATTTGGGTTAGATGAGAAGAGAGAGGCTTTCAAGGTCGGCCATGGACATGGCATGGCTGTGTCTGAGTAGGAATAGAAGGTCTTTGTGGGAGAGGTAAGGCGAAGGTCATGCTGGAAAGATGGGTGAACCACTGACATGAACATTCCCTGTTTGCATAGTTTGGGCTTTATCCAGTAGGTCCTTCAATGAGGTAGCGGCAGAGTTATTGAAGGTATTTTGTAAGAAGGGTATATGTGTTCTTGTGTAAACTTTTTGAGATACAGTACTAGGTTTCCTTCTGTAATGCAGGTAGATGCTACAGATTTCAAGTTTTGTGCCTTGCCTAATGTTGGTCTTTTGACCCTTTTGAGTTTTCTTTCTGCATTGTGTCAGCCTCCCTTTATCTGTTATAATTAAAGTAAAAATGAGCAGGAAAGGTTTAGGGTGTTATCTTATTATTTATTTTATTTTATTTTATTTTTTAGTTGGAGTCTCACTCCGTCACCCAGACTGGAGTGCAGTGGCCGCTCCCGGCCA